TACTCACCCCACATCTGTGTGTGTGTGTGTGTGTGTGTGTGTGTGTGTGTGTGTGTGTGTGTGTGTGTGTGTGTGTGTGTGTGTGTGTGTTTGAGGAGCTGCAGGAAAAACAAAGAAGCAGGATATTAAAGTTGAGGTTCTGTGATGGGAACTGGACCGGACAAGCAGATTGCAGGGAGAAGCTGAGGTCAGAACCATCAGGAGGATCAGCTGATCTCTGATGATCTCTGCTGGATCACATCAACCAGCAGGAAACGGCGCTGCAGCCGGAGAGACGCTGGAGGATTTATCATTAGCAGAAAATCAGATCTGAAATTCTGAAGGTTCTCATTCATTATATTTCAGATTTTTTCTGTTGAACTGGATTTATTTCAAAACACAGAGATTAAAAACTGTGGGACATTCAGGCTCCATTGTTCACACCAAGCCCAGTTCAGTCCATTTTAATCCAACTCCAGTCCGTTTGTCTTGAAAGCCCGGTTCAGTTGGTGAGGTATGAACGCTAATCGACCTCTGACCTCTGGTCCTCCAAACCTCAGTCTGGGTTCGGTTTGAATGTGAACGCCAAGCGGACCAGAGACGGCTCCAAAACCAGGAAGTGGACTACAGCGCAAGGCATTCTGGGTAACTAAAGCCAGAGCTAACATGCTAGCCTAGCAGCGGAAATGGCTCCTGGTCTTTAGCCAATGACTAAAGAGAAATCCTCCAACTGCTAAAATCTGACGCTACGCCCCCTGCTGGTCTGGAGGATTTTCTGTTTTGAGGCGCCAGTTTGCAGCATTTCAGACTTTTTTGTGGTTGAAGCATTTTTAATTTGCAGCTTTTTCTGTTAGATTTTTTTGTTTTGGAGTTTGCGTTGTTGTTTTTTCAGCTCATTCCTCCGTTTTTCAGCCTGTCAGCCACCGCAGGTCATGACCTCCACCTGGTTTCTGCAAAATGATCATAAACTGAGTTTAAAAAGACATGCAGCATAATCCATAATCCATAATCAATAATCCATGATCCATGATCACCTCCTCGTTCATATCGTTTGTGTTGTTCAGATTATAAATCTGTGGGTCAGAATGAAATGTTCTGGAGGTTTAATCCAGGTTCTCCTCTCAGAACCGGCTTCGGTTCTAATTAATCTGTGGTTCTGACCCGTGGATCTGCTGTCTCTCTCTGCAGACAGTGCGGCTACAGCAAAGCCTCCCAGGAGGGAGACGAGGAGCTCTACTTCCAGTGTGAGTCCTGATGTTTGGATCAAACTAACGTTAACCTCAGAGACGCGTCGGACCAGCAGGTTGACCTCTGGAAGGTCAAACTGCAGGTTCCCGGTCAGATTCAAGTCCAGACTTTGACTTGCCGAGTATTTTATTATTGTAGATTCTGATGCAAATATCTTATTACATTTGAAATGAGACAAAATGATCTTAAAAATAACATTTCAGCTTGTTTTACGTCAGTAATTACTGAGTATTAAAGGGGCAGCATCGTCTTTAGATTGAAGCAGAACATGAAGCCTCCTCTCGGTAGCTGATTAGATTCTCCGCAGAGTTTCCAGACTGAAAGAAATGATGAGAGTCTGGTTCTGGTTCTGATTGGATCAAAACGCCTCATGCTGAACCATCAGTCGCTCTTTGTGTTCTGCTGATGAAGCGAGGCGGCGGCAGGATCACCTGATCACTTCCTGCCAGACTCTAACGATGTGTGTGTTTCCTGTCTCAGTTCCTCTGACCCGGTTCTGTTTAACCAGCTCTGGGCTTCTCTGTGATCCAGTTAAGATCCCGACTCGGAGGACCTACATCGACCCGGAGACGTGTGAAGACCTGCTGCAGGCCGTCCACGCCTTCGCCAAGGAGCTGGACCAACAGAGCATCAAGATAGAGAGGATCGTCCACACAGGTACCGAGTTCTGGCTGATGGGACCAGAATCTGGCCCGATCAAACCTCCCTGGTCCGACTCCACACAGAACCGCACCGCTCCGCTCCGTTAGCTTGCTATGGCTGCTGCTTGCAGAGCCAAGAGGGGAAACTGGGGATTCATCTTCACATTAATAACGTCACAGTTTCAGATAATCTAACATTGAGCTTGGAGGTAAATATTCACATTTAAGCTAAATATTCAGTTTCAAACTAAATATTTAGCTCAGAGCTAGCTAAGTATTTAGCTTGTAAACTAAATGCTTAGTATGCAAGCTACATATTTAGCTTCTAGCTACATATTTAGCTTCAAGCTACATATTTAGCTTCTAGCTACATAGAAGCTAAATATGTAGCTTCTATGTTACCTTGTAGCTAGAAGCTACAAGGTAATATGTAGCTTCTAGCTACATATTACCTTGGAGCTAAATATTTATGCATATTTAGTTTTCGAACTAAATACTTAGTTTGAAACTGACATTTATAAATCTGTGAACAATCTCAGAGTTTAGTACAGTGAAGATCGAATAATTAAAATCTCTTCTTTATCTCTACGTTATGTTTTCACCTCAAACACAACGCGCTGCTGCCTCTGAACTCAAGGTGGCGCTGTCCATGAAGTTTATCAGAAAGATTCCTGGTAATCTGTTTTCCCTTAGCTGTGCAGAAACCTCTGAGCTGACGCTGTGCCCCTGCTCCGTGTCGCCCCCTGCAGGTGACTTTGGGGAGGTGTGCCGCGGCTGCCTGAAGCTGCCCAGTAAGCGGGAGCTGCCGGTCGCCATCCGGACGCTGCGGGCCGGCTGCTCCGACAAGCAGCGCCGCACCTTCCTGAGCGAGGCCGGCATCCTGGGCCAGTTCGACCACGCCAACATCATCCGGCTGGAGGGCGTCATCACCACCGGTGAGCCGGGGTCAGGGGTCGGCTCTGTGGGGGGAGGAAGGGGAGCAGAGGAGTAGGCAAACAGCAGCAGCTGCAGATGTAGAGGATCCAGTAATTGGTGCTTCAGACGCAGCAGGAGCTGAGATGCTCTCCAGTCCTCCCACTGCCACACACACACACACACACACACACACACACACACACATCCCCCCACCTGCCTCCCTCCCCCAAAACACCTGCTCTCTCTCCTGCTCGCCCACACCTTCTCGCTGTCAGACGACAAATCTCCTGTTTTCCATCACTGAGCCCCCAACACTTCGGTTCCCCTGACTGGACCAGTTCAGTTCTCTGGTTCAGTTCTCTGGTTCAGTTCTCTGGATCAGTTCTCTGGTTCAGTTCTCTGGATCAGTTCTCTGGATCAGTTCTCCGGTCCGACGCTGGAACATGGATCCTTGTAGATCTCCAGCTGCACCTCTGCATCGTCTGAGTCTGGAGGCTTCACTATGGAGGACTGGTGCTGACAAAACTACCATTAAATGTAGAAATAAATTAAGGCTTTGATAAAGTAATTAATGTGCCAAATGATGCATCCAAAAAATAAAAATAGAAACTTTCCCAACTTGTAATGTTCTAACTGTGTTCTGGTCTTATTGTGACTCTGTTGTAGTTTGACGTTTCCCTGAGCCTGGCTCAATGCTGCGTTATCATTTTCCATTTTATTTTCAATGTTTTATTAGTTTCCTTTTCTATGTCTGTATTTTATGTTCCATATTTTTTATTGACTTTCTTTAATTTCTGAATTTTATTTTTATCATGCATTGCTTTAACAACATGACTGTCAGGTTAATTGGCCTGCATAAATTCTCCGTGTGTGTGTGTGTGTGTGTGTGTGTGTGTGTGTGTGTGTGTGTGTGTGTGTGTGTGTGTGTGTTTGTCCTGTCTCTCTGTGTTGCCCTCCTGGACTGCTGACCCGTCCAGGTGACCCGCCTCTCCCGATGGGATGAGGGTGTAAGAAAATGGATGGATGATTTATTTTCTTCTCTAAGGAAAAAGCAAAGAGAAAAACATGAAGGGAAAAATAAATCTGTAGATAAACAGACAAGGTGTGAAAATGAGAAGAAGAAATATTTCAGGAGTTTTTGATTTTTACTTCTTGGATGGGATATTAATGACTTTATTAAGCCATTTCTTTATTTCTGTTTTTATGACCAGTTTTGGCAGGATCAGCTCTCCATACCTGTATCCTCAAGTTGATGTTGGAGATTAACACTAGCTCAATCAGGCAAAACATTATGACCACTTTCAGGGGAATAACGCTGGTTCTCTTCATCATGGCCGCCGTCAGTCGGTCTGGCAGGAAGTCAGCATTTTGGTCCGGTTCTGGTCCAGATTCATTCTGTCTGGAATAGTTTCTGTTTCACCAGGATAAAGATGAATCAGTTTGTTTCTCATCACCTCCTGCTGGGTTCCTGCACCCGACCTCTGAGTTGAACCCAGCAGAACCGACTGGACCCGTTTCTCTCTGCGTCTTCAGGAAACACGATGATGATCGTGGAGGAGAGCATGACCAACGGAGCCTTGGACTCCTTCCTCAGGGTACGGCTCTGCACTCACCCGTGTTTTTGCCCTCATGACCTTGATGACCTTGATGGAGGGGGTTTGAGCTAGCTAACGCCTGGTGTCTCCTCAGAAACACGAAGGCCAGCTGAGCGTCATGCAGCTGATGGACATGCTGACCGGCGTGGCTTCAGGGATGAAATATCTCACTGACATGGGATTCGTTCACAAACGGCTGGCAGCGCACAAGGTGAGGCGGGAGGAGGTCACTTCCTGTCTCCAACAGGAAGTTAGCCTCGACAGGGTTTGAAAGAAAGAATCAAAATACATGAACTTTAGAGAACATGAAACCACAAACATTCATGTAGAACTCTAACATGTGGCAAACATCTAATGTGCTACTAGCACAGCTAACCTTTCAATTAGCAATTTTATTAACATTTAGCGCACTTAGCTTCCCCTATATGAAATTTTAAATTCTAAACTGCTAATTTACTTTGCTGATTTTCAGCTAATGTTTATTATTAATAGTTTATGGTTAGCTATGCTAACTGTTTCTCTAGCATGCTAGCTGTTTATTTAGCATGTTAGCTGTTTATCTAGTGTGCTAGCTGTTCAGCTAGCGTGCTAGCCAGTGGTTGTGTCTGTAGAGGCAGAGTAACCTCAGCTCTCTCATCGGGTTCCTCTCAGGTTCTGGTGAACTCCAACCTGACCTGCAAGGTGTCGGGCTTCAGGCCGCTTCAGGAGGAAAAGATCGACTCCATCTACACCACGCTGGTGAGAGGCGGAGCTTCACTGCAGCTGGCTCTGAGCGCTGACCCCTGACCTTTACACCCCGTTTGTTTTCCCTGCAGCACGGAGGGAAGAGCGTGGTTCTGTGGACCGCCCCGGAGGCCATCCAGTACCGCCGCTTCTCCTCGGCTTCCGACGTCTGGAGCTTCGGCATCGTCATGTGGGAGGTCATGTCCTACGGAGAGAGGCCCTACTGGGACATGGGCACCCAGGATGTGAGTCGGTACCCCTCCCCAACCCGCTTCTGTTTCCTGACCCAAATGGACTGTGAGCCCCTCTGAGCCTCTCCAGCTGCGTGACTAATCCTGTTTCCCTTAAGGACACTCGGACCGCCTCGGTACCGACCCGATTCTCCTCTTCTCTCTCTAAAGAGCTGAAAACCCTGCAGCTTCCCCAGCTGAACCAGAACCTTTAATGCAGCAGAACCAGAACCAGGGAGCCGTTCTTTCTCTGCTGCAGACGGACATGCAGCAGATCCGGTCCGGTCTCTGAGTCACAGTTGGGAGTTTTATTGTTTTTATGGGGTTTTTTGGGTTCCTTGGTTTGTGGAGCAGAACGGTGGCAGCTCAGAGGTAAACCCTGCAGATTTTCCCAGAATTCATTGCAAAAACACAAAATCTTAATTTTGATTTAGTTTCTAGAGATTCAGAAATCTCAGCATCCTTGAAATCAGACAAAACTAACCTTCAAGTAACTTTTCAGTAGGATGTAGGAGTTTGTTTTCAGTCAATAATTCATTATTAATAATGAAGGTACTGTTAAAAATGACTGGGTGTGATTTTGTTTTTAGTGTTCAGAGTTAACATGCATGAGTTGCTGCGCAGCATCAGGGCCGTTCCTCCTGGCCTCTGGTGAACTTTCCTCTCAGCCGCCGTTGGATTATCAAACTTTCCAATTGAGAGGTGAAAGGTGAAGCTTGTAGAGCAGCACAGATATTAATCCACTTTAAATGGAGACATCATATCATAACCGGGTTTCTGCTGGGCCCGTCCGCCTGCACCCGCCGTGGCCTTTCCCCAGCGCCGCTGATTAAATGGAAATGTCAGGAGCTGAGGAGCCGTTATGAAATGATGCTGCTGACGGTTTGTGTTACTGCAGCGGAGGAACCATGGCTGCAGCTACACGGGGGCCCCAGGGGCCAACGGCCCTCAGCTCATGTCCCTCAGTCAGATTTATTAAAAATAATCACTGAAGCCTCTGTTTGCAAATAAATACATATTACTTCACCAGCAATATATAACTAAATATAATGTTGGGTCCCTGAAAAACAGAGTTACGGCCCTGAATGATAAAGTTAAAGTCCAATTAAATGCTGAAGCAATTAATTGTGATTAGTTGGCAATTATTTCAATAACCTATGAAGTTAGTAATCGATTAATCGTTAAGTGGAGTATTCAGACTCTAAAGAACAACACAGTAAAACTAACGGTTTGAATAAAAATCGTTTTAACCCAGAACTCCTCTAGAGTTCTACCTTCATCTGGTTCAGATCGGATCTCTGTGGTTCCCCTCATGTTCCCATCAGAGCTGTGAGAACTTTTCCACCTGAGCTCATAAAGGAAGAAATCCAGACGGTATTTTGGGTTCTAAAGGTTCTGGTTCTGTTTGCCAGCCAGCAGGAGGAAATGAAACTGATAACAGAAACTAAACCGTTGAGATTTTCCCAATGGGAGGCTGCTGGGTTTGGGTCAGGAGCAGCAGGTCTGAGGTCCGGTCCGGTCGGTCCGGTCCGGTTAGCAGCTGGTCCTGGAGAAGCTGCTGGTGTTAGGAAGAGGAAACTGGAAGCTCAGACCCAGAAGATATTAATGAACCAAGATGGTTTCTGTTAACACAACACACACACAAAACACACACACACACATACAAAACACACACACACACAAAACACACACACACACAAAACACAACACACACACAACACACACACAAAACACACACACACACACACACACAACACACAACACACACACAAAACACACACAACACACACACACACATACAAAACACACACACACACACACAACACACACACAAAACACACACAAAACACACACACACACACACACAACACACACAACACACACACACAAAAAAAACAACACACACACACACCTCTGCTGTCCCTCAGGTATGAAGCTAATTATAGATGAAATGGTGGAGAATTTCTCACCTGAAGTTACTGACTTCCTGTGTGTTTCTGTGTGTGTGTGTGTGTGTGTGTGTGTGTGTGCAGGTCATAAAGGCCATTGAGGACGGCTTCAGGCTGCCGGCGCCGGTCAACTGCCCCCCCCACCTGCACCAGCTGATGCTGGACTGCTGGCAGAAGGAGCGGGCGGAGCGGCCCGGCTTCAGCCAGGTCCACTCGGCGCTCAGTAAGAGCGTCCGCTCTCCCGACGGGATCGGCTCGTCCACGCTGGCGCGCAGGTTGGGACGCGGCGGCGGCTCCACCAGAGGCTGCCGGGCTGATTTCTGACGTTTCCGTGGTTTTGCTCCTGCAGGACGCTGAGCTCGTCCATCTCCCTGGCCGAGCGGCCGCTGCCCTCCTTCCCGTCCTTCAGCTCGGTGGGAGAGTGGCTGGACGCCGTGGACATGGGCCGCTACAAGGACAACTTCACCGCTGCAGGATACTGCTACCTGGAGTCTGTGGCTCGCATGACCGTACAGTGAGTGGCTTCAGTCACACCTGAGGGAGCTACGGCATGCTTTAGGGACAAAATTAGGAATATGGCACCTCCAGCGGAGGCTACTTTCATCCATCCTAAAGCTAGCTGCTGGTCTGATTAATGAACTTCAACTAGCAAAGGAGCAGAAGATGACTAACTTCAGCCTATGGTCGGCTGGTGTTAGCGTTTGATAGGCTAGCATTAGCATTTTATAGGCTGCTGTTAGCGTTGGATAGGCTAACTGGCATGCTGAGAATAATCTCTGATCCATGTTTGAAGTTTTAAGATGGAGCAAATCAAAGATGCTTAATGTTGGTAAATATTAGGTGGAATCGCCCTTTAGCCATTCAGCCAATCAGAAGCCATCTTCACCTCCATATTGTTCAATATTTTTGTGTTTTTGTCATGTTGGGTTTTTGTAAACTGTCATAATAACACATATGGGAGCTAACTGACACATGCTACTTGTTATCCTATGTCAGGGTAATGTTGGTCTTGGACTGACTAGCACTAGCCTATCCTTGGCTAACACTAGCCTATCCGTGCTAATGTACAGCAAAGGAAGTAGCCAAACCAGTGGGTGACCATTATTCTCAGCATGCTAGTTCCTAGCCTCTCCAAAGCTAACACTAGCTAGTAGTTTTGTTCTCAGTTAGCAAAGCCAGGTGAACTTTGATTAAGTCAGTCTTAGAACAGATGTAGCCTCCTGCTACATAGAAGTAGCCGCCACGTGGTGTGTGATAGTCTTAATTTTGTCACTAATGGTGCGCCGTAGGCTGCAGCTTCTGAGTGTCTGTGTCTCTGCAGAGATGTGCTGAGCCTGGGCGTCATCTCCCTGGACCACCAGAAGCTCATTCTGGCCGCCATCCAGACGCTGCGGGCGCAGGTGATCCAGATGCACGGCCGGGGGGTCCAGGTCTGACCGGGGGGTCCAGGTCTGACCGGGGGGTCCAGGTCTGACCGGGGGGTCCAGGTCTGACTGGGCCTCACCTGGCTGCGGCTGCTGCGCCTCACTCAGGTGTGCAGGAGGAGAGGAGCGGGGAGCGTCCGCCCCAGAGGACAGACCAGCAGAAGCTGGACTCCTCTTCCTTTCCTTCATCCCTTCTTCCTGTTTCCAAGAGGAGGTGAGCGGCGCAACCCGAGGAGTGATGTCAACGTGACCTTTGTGACCTCTGCTGCTCCGTCCGGCCAATCAGAGCCCCAGACAGACAGGTTTGGTGGGATGTCCCTTTAAGACAAATCTTGGCAGACGGACTCGTGTTTCCACGCTGATCTGACCGACCAACCGGAGCGGGCCAAGTGGGCGGGGCTTCAGTAGTGGCCCAATCAGAAACAGACGCTGTAAAAGGTTCAAACTGTCGGGTTTTTCTTCTCCTTGGTGCTTTTTCCTGGTTTTCTTTGTGCTGGACGTCATTTCAGTAACAGTCCTCATGTTTCTGTGTTTACAGGTTCAGCTCAAAAACCTGGAATATCAGGAAAAAACAATTTTTCTGTCAGATTTCAGAAACTTCTTGTAATTCTGATGATTAAATCTCAGAGAAGGAAAAGCCAAAGTTAGATCTGAACATTGAGAAGTGGTGGTGGGACACCAACACACTGAAGGAGCTGGTTGTTCAGAGTTCTGTATCCAAGCATATTAATGGAAGATTGAGTGGAAGGACAAAGTGTGGTAGGAAAAGATGCTGCAGCAACAGGGAGAACCGCAGCGTGGGAATCTGGAGGAGCTCCAGCAGGAACTGAGAGAAAAAGACAAAAATGTTCCCAGAATGCTGATATTTCTGCTTAAAACATCACCTTATTGATCTGATGTAATATTCTAAATTTCTGAGACAAAACTTTGGGTTTTTGATACTATATTTATTCTAATATTCAGATTTTCTGTGACAATTTTTGGATTTGTCTCCTATTTCATTTTATTAGATTTTTTTTTTGTTACGATTTTCTGAGACAATAAATTTTGGGATTTCAGTCTTAATTTATTTTTTTTAATATTCAGGTTTTCTGAGATCTTTTTGGATTTCAGGCTCTTTTTTTAACTTTATTTCATTTTTATTGTTTTTTTTTATGTGAAGCAGATTTTGAATTTTCATTCTGTGAGCCAAAATCATCAGAACTACTAGAAACATTTCACTGTGTGTGTGAAATTTGATTGATTGATTGATTGATTGATTGATTGATTGATTGATTGATTGATTGATGAGACGAGGGACAGAAATGTTTTTCAATTTATGGTGTTTTCCAGGCGCTGCGCCCCCTGGCGGCCGTCCTGCTGTAAACATATTTATCCATATTTATTCTCTCCGCTGAGGAAGGTTTTATTTGTTCGGTTCTGTTGGGTTTGGACTCAGAACCGGCAGAGGGAGGTTTGAACTGTCGGTACACAGTATCTGTGCGTTCCTGAACTTGAACTGGACTCGCTGGTTCTGTGGCATCATGTGTGATTCCTGCTGTAAACATGATGTTGTTGCACTTCTTCTTCTCCTCTGCGCGGTGAGCTGACGGTCCGGGTCGTTTGGGTTTCTTCTTCTTGACGCTCCCCGTCCAGCTCCACGTAACCAGTTTTGATGTTTAATACTGTAAATATGTATCTGAAATGCCAAATCTATTTTTATAATTTGTTTGAATAACGTGTTGATCTAATATCTGCTCACCGTGTAAAAGTTTTACTGGTTACGTTTGGAATATAAAACAGATTGATAAACATTTCTTTCTGATGATTTTTACCTGACTGAAGGAAATCTGATGGCTGTTGCAATATTTAAACGTGTTATTAAAAAACTCCAAACCCAGCAGCCGGTTCCGCCTCTTCAGATGCTGAATCAGCTCAGAGTAAAAGAATAAAACAACGTTTTGGTTATTTAGTCTGTCGGAGAGAAAAACTCCACGATATGAATGTCAAACAAAGCAAAACATTTAGCTTGCATGAAATTTATAAATGCATCAATAACATTTAATTTCCAAACCAAATATTTATCTTTAGCTTTATATATTCAAATTGCCAACTAAATAATTAGGTTGCTAGCAGCTAGCTAAACCTTTAGCTAGATATTAAGATCTTTATTTCAGACTAAAACTTTTTAGATTTATATTCTAAGTATTTTTGGAAAGTCCAAAGATAATTAGACTTTACCGCTGAGAAATGTGATTTTATTTTCCTTGGAGTTTGTTACGTGAAGCCGGAAGGGAGCGACGCGCTGACGGACTCACCCTGGAGCCCAGGATGACGTCACAGGATCTCTACAGGTGACCACACCTGTAGAGATCCTCCGTCCTCAGGATCCCTGAAGGCGCAGGTTGCGTCACCTGGTCACGTGACCGCAGGAAGTGACTGGAAGAGCAGCAGCAGCTGAGGTGACAGCGTGAATTCACAATGACATCTTTATCTCATAAAGTTGCAGCAGCGATCCATACTCTGTATATTACGGTCTTATTGGACTGGAGTTTGAGACTTAATGAGTTTCATCTGTGGAGCCGCCCACGCAGCGAGCAGCCGCTCCGGAGCCTCGCTGCTGCTTTAATTCATTACCGTGGATCCTCACTCCTACTTAACTCACTGAAACTCAGACAGCAAGTTACTTCCTCCAACTGTTCAGGGGAAGATGTGAGCGAGGCGAAGGAGAAGCTGCCGCCATCTTTTCAGGTGTGTCGATCACAGCAGGTTTCATCGTTTCTTCTGAAAATGAGACTCAGCGGGTTTCAAACCGAAAACCTGAATCTGTTCAGTCTGTTAGCATCAGAGCAGCTCAACAGACACTTCTAGGTCTGACGCGATTAATCGTGCTTAATCAATTATTGAAACAATATCAACTCATTTATTAATCGATTAATCATTAACTGGAGCATTCAGCGTCTAAAATACAAAGTGTTTCCGTTTGGCTTCATTGCTGCTCTGACTTGTTTCTTGTCTGGAAATGATTTTGAATAATCCATTACTAAATTAGTAATATTTTAATAATTGATTAATCATGTCTAATTGTTTCAGAGACACTAATTACAGAGAACCCACAGCACAAGGAGAACATGGTTCTGGTTCTGGTCCAGTTGTGATGTAACTGGTTTTCCTCTATGCGTTCTGTTTGGGTCGGTGAGGAGCCGCCGGGCTCCAGGGACAGCAGATTAACGGAGCGCAGGTCCATCGCTAAGCTGCTGTGAAGGAGAAACTTCTAAAGTTCTGATCCGGTCCGGTCCGCTCGGCGGCCCAAAGCGGCTTTAGGAGCTAATCTGAGCTTCGTGGAGGAGAAACTGAATGGAGGAGATGAAGGCTTGGAGCTCCTCAGGGATCCTGCTGCGGCCCGGACCGTTCCCATCATCGGTCCGGCTCATTATTCCCGCCTTTGTCTTCAGAACCAGATTCAGAACCTGCGGCCCGGCGGCGCTCTGCCTGCTAATCCTCCACCAGACGCTTCAGGATGATATCAGATTAAACTGTGAGCGACCCGGCAGAACCTCCAGAACCAGCCAGCACCGCAGAGACCCTGCTCTCCGCTTCACCTCTGACCCCTGAGCGCTGCTGCTGCTTTTGCAGGGACGCACTGCCACCCAGTGGCCGCTCAAGGCACTGCAGCAGAACTTCACCCACCAAATGTTCCTGCAGCGATTTGTGAACCGATTCAGATTCATGCTGCAGTTTATTACAAAATAATCCAGCTGAAACCGCGCCCGACTGTTGCCATGGTAACTGAAATCCTTCAGAGGTTTCCTCCAACCAACAGCTGCAGATTCATCTCAGCAGAACTCGAAGAAAAGTTTTCTGGATCAACATCAAGATCAGCCGCAAACGTCAAACCAAATAATCTGGTGCCAATATCTCAGAATACCATAAAACAAGACAAACATACAGTAACGGTTCAGTGGGATATTAGAGCTTCAGTCAATAACTCCTTCAAACTGAAGAAAATAACTAATTCATCATTTAAATTCTGAAGTGCAATAATCTGCAAGAAGTGACTATTTTGAAATTTCTCATTTTTAAAGAGCCACATTTTATTTTTGTTTTTAGGTTTTAAAATGGAAAAAACAAAACAAAAAAACGAACCTTTTGCAGAAAATAAAGATGGATGTTTCCTTTTGTGGGATGAAAAATAGATCTAAATATCACAAGTATTTTTTGATGTAATTCTGTCCTGGAATATTAATTTACTGCAAGAACAAATGCTTAAACAATCATGTTATTAAATTTACATTTTAGTTTATTAAGTCAAAGTTTTCAACTTTTTTCAGGTTGGAGGCTCTGATCCCGTCCTGAACTCTACACTGAAAAACTAAAACAGCTGATCCAACTTAAATTGAGTTAATTTGTTAGTTTATCCAAAATTATCAAGTTTATTAAGGTGTCATGGTAAACAAATGTAAATGAAGTAAATCTGACAAACTTAATTTGAATTCATTTTTTAAAGTTGGATCATGTTTTCCTTTTTTTCAGTGTAGATCCTTCAGTGGATCTCTGGATCTCTTCCTGACCGAACCAGTGGAGGTTTTACTGAACACGTTTCATTCAGAGCCGATCGGGACTCTGAGCTTCAGTCCTTCCAGTCGAGCTTCAGCGTCTCGGCGATGAAGGCGAAGATGTGCGTGTCCTCCAGGATGGCCTTGGCCGTGGGCTTCCCGGCGCCGTGTCCGCTGCGGGTGTCGACGCGCAGCAGGAGCGGCTGCCGATGCTGCGGGCTGCCGCCCACGCCGCGCTGCAGCGCCGCGCAGAACTTCAGCGTGTGCAGCGGAACCACGCGGTCGTCGTGGTCCGCCGTCAGCAGCAGGACGGCCGGGTACGGCGGGCCGGAGTACGGCGCCTCCGGCAGGTTGTGGAGGGGAGAGTACCTGCAGACAGGACAGGGTCCAGACCCGTTCTGCTGGTTCTGATACAGGCTGGGATGTTCTACAGCACATGTCAAACTGAAGGTCCGGGGGCCAAATACAGCCCACCGTAACTTTCTATGTGGCCCTCAGACGCCAAATCCCATCAATCTGTCCCTTCAGGTTTTCACAAGAAAATCAAGATTCCCACATCTTTTCATGCTTTTGCAGAATTATGAATTTAATGCAAATTTTCCACAAAAACTGTCAGAAATATTAATTTAATTGATGCCAACTCCCCCATGACATGTTAGCTTAAGCTACTCACTACTTGTGTTTTCTATGGAACTAAAACACTGACGATTTTATAACTACAGTTTTAATTTCTCTGCAGATCCTCTGGACAAATGATGCATTTTAATAAAAGTTAGAACTAATTTACAGAAAGTCTGGAATTTAATGCAAAATGATGTTATATTAAAAAATGATAAAGGATGGATAAAACAATATTTTAGTAAACTGCAAACAATATAATATGATTGGTGAATATATTACAGTACTTATGTATTTAACCTAAAATTAATACATTCTGCCATCTTGTTTTTGTTTTTAATTTCTAAAAATGTTTTAGTGATGTAACTGCTAACTGAACTCGACCTGCAGGTGGCAGTGTTTCTCCATTTGGATATATATTTAATTCATAAACTAAATATTTAGTTTTCAAATTACATATTTAGTTGGGAAGCTAAATGTTTAGATCTGAACTAAGCATTAAGTTTGGAAAATAGATATTTAGTTTGCAATTAAATGTTAATTTTGGAAGTAAATATTTTGTTAGCAAAATAAAAAATTGGCCTACATTTTATTTAGCTCAGATTAAATTAAATATTTGTTTTTCAAACAAAACTTTTAGCTCAGACTTAAGCTGGTTAGTTGGGATCTAACTAACTTCCTAACCAAACATTCAGTTTGGAGTGGAGACAAAACAGGACTTAAAAATGAACATTTTTCTCTAATTATTTGACTCCAACTTCCCAAAACGTCCCGAAGCAAAAAATAAAACATTTAATGTCAGTAAAAAGTAACGAGTGCAAACCTGCCTGAACATTTCCACATTAAAACTAAACCTAACGTGAAATCCTGAAGGGACGAGAAAAGTTTGGAAATATTTCAGCCGTTTGGAGTTTTAGGATATTCATGTTCTGAGGACAGAGAGGTTCTGGTTCTGGTTCTGGTTCTTACTTGATGAGCCACTGGAACTGCTCCGGGTCGTCGGCGCAGCCGTAGTCGGTGGTCCAGGCGTGTCCGATGGTGAACTTATGGAACTTCAACATGTCCAAAACTCCGACCTCGGCGACGACGCATCCGAACAGCTGCGGCTGCTGGATCATGCAGGCGGCTGCAACAGAACCATCAGAACCAACAGAACCATCAGAACCAACAGAACCATCAGAACCAACAGGACCATCAGAACCAACAGAACAGAACCATCAGAACCAACAGAACCAACAGAACCAACAGGACCATCAGAACCAACAGAACAGAACCATCAGAACCAACAGAACAGAACCATCAGAACCAACAGAACAGAACCATCAGAACCAACAGAACGTCACTGAGTTCAACCTGCAGCTGCAGAGCAGCAAGAAAAACTGCCCTCTACTTTTATTTTGAAGTGTTTCTACGGTTACTGGAGTAAAACTTCTGGATTTTCTGTCCAAGTTTTGACCAAACAGAAACGCAGTGAAACAAGATGGCCGCCCAGCTGACCCACAGACCATGGCGGGAAAAATGAAATATTCACAAACTAAAATTCTTTGAATTGCTAAAACTGATGTATCGGCAGCCCTAAAACACCCTGCTGAAGGTTCTGCAGAACCCGGTCCAGAACCGGACTCACCGACCAGCAGGCCGCCGTTGGACGCTCCGTTGATGGCGATCCGGCTGGCCGAGGTGAACCGCTCCCGGATCAGGAACTCCGCCGCGCTCTGGAAGTCATCGAAGCAGTTCTGCTTCCGGTCCAAGGTTCCGGCTGCAGACGGGGAACATCTTTAGAACAGAACCGGAACCAGAGCCGGGTCCAGGCCGGAGCCGGCGGTACCTTTGTGCCAGGTGAGGCCGTACTCTCCGCCGCCCCGGATGTTGGCCACGGCCAGAACTCCGCCCAGGTGTCTCACGAACAGCAGGTAGGCCACACTGGGTCAGAACCAGAACCACAACTGAGACCCGGATCCTGATACCAACACGTTCAAATCACTGAGAAGAAAGAAACATCCAGACCGAACCGGCCCGGTTCTGGACCAGAACCCGTTCGGAACCAGCTGCTGTCGCTCACTTGTAGTGCGGCTGGATGGAGTTCTCAAAGCCGCCGTAGCCGTACAGGAAGACCGGGTTGGTTCCGTCCCGCTCCAGGTTCCGGGCGTGGACCAGGAACATGGGGATGCTGGTTCCGTCCTTACTGGGGTAGAAAACCTGGGAGAGACGCACGGGTCGGAACCGACCCGGTTCTGGTGAGTTATAAGAGACTGAAAGGTCAGAACCGACCAGAACCTCCAGGATCCATTAGAACCTGGGGAGAATTTCAGGTTCCACAGAAATGAGCCGTCTGGTCTGGTTCTGACCCGTCAGAACCAGATAAACATTCAGGATGGACTGGCTTCACTGAAACCGGTCCATTTTCTACCAGAACTTTCCAAAGATTCCTAAGCAAAACATTGGTTCTGGTCCAGTTTCTGCTTGGCTGCAGGTGCTGCTTTCCACCAGTGGGTGGAGCTGTTTCCTCACAGATCGGCCTGGTTCTGTTTGGACCCAGAATCATCTGGATCTGTTCTGATCAGCCAGCTGACCCAAAGCCAGCAGAACTAGGAATAACCCAGTCAGAACTTCAGGGGCCGGATCGGCGCTCCTCCTGGGTTCCTGAGACCCAACGGAACCAGCGGGTCAGAACAGCAGAACCTCAGGCTTAAAAATAAAATCTAATTTTTCTTTTATCTGATTTTAATTTTTAAAAATATCGATTTCTTTTCTAAAATGGAAATAAAAGTTTCAGGGCCGAAAACCTTTAGTGCCTTTTCTACTGGCCCTTTATCTTCGTATCATTTTGACTTTATTCTTCTTCTGTGGTGTTGATCTGGACTCAACCTTAAACAAACAGAAGCTGTGAAAACAAGATGGCCGCCCTGACATCACTCTGAGCAACGGAGAGCCACAGACGGGATTGGGGGGAAAATTTACCAAAAATAAAATCTTCAAAAAATTCACATAATCAATAAAATGTGTTTCTGTCCCGGTTCTGGCCGAGTCCAGGTGTCCAGAAGGGGGCGGAGCTCACCTGGCTGGTCAGGAAGTCCTCCTGGTTGATGCCTTTGACCTCCACCTCCCTGAAGACCCGGGGCTCCGGGTCGGGCCGGCTCAGGTCGCAGTGGTAGATGATCCCTGATGGAGAGCAGAGGGTCAGATGGAGGCTGGGGTCAGGGGTCAGAGGTCAGCGGTGGGTTACCCGGCGTGGTGAAGGAGGTGAACTTGTAGAAGAACTCTGAGTGTTTCTTCTTGCAGCTGACCCCGGCGATGGTTCCCACGTCCAGCGGCAGCTCCCGCAGCAGGCGGCCGCTGCTCAGCTCGAACAGCTGCAGCACGTCCTTCACGTCGTGGACGTAGTTCACCAGCAGGTGGCGCTGGTTCACACAGGAGACGAAGCCTGCAGGCCAGAGGGCAGAGGTCAGGTTAGACCCAGAGGGTGACCACAGAGGTGAGAGGGGAAGAAACTAAAACGGTTATAAATTCAGAACAGCTGCAGTTTGATCTGATTCAGAAGCGTTTCCCGTCACCGGCTTGACTCAGCCGCTGTCATCTGAGACCAGTTTCACTTTTCCAGCAGAGTTCCTGTGACGGAGGCGCGGCCGCCGGCCACCACTTCCTGGTCTCTGTGGTCGGACCGTCATCGAAACGCCGGCCAGGAATTCACAGAAAAGCTGTCGCAACGCTCCGAACCGCGGTTCTGAGGACGAGAGCTCTGCGTATCTCTGACGCTGGTGGACTTTTCCCTTCATTCCCGGCACCAGAACCAGCTGGAGGGCGGGACCGGGCCGGGCCGGGCGGCTGCTCACCCAGGACGTCCTTCTCATGCTGCGGGATCAGCGTGGTCCAGTTCTGCCGGTCCGGGTTCTGGATGTCGATGTTGATGAGGCGGTAGCGCGGCGCGTCCAGGTTGGAGCGGAACGTGAACACGCTGCCCTCGTTGGTCACGTAGGAGTACTGCGCCTCGAAGTCGTCCACCAGCCGGACCCACGGCAGCAGACCTGCAGAACCAAAACACTTTCACAACCAGAGACAGCAGGAAGTGTCGACACCCGGCGTGGAAACTTCCCACAGCCCAACAACGTCCGCAGGCCCAAGGAAGCTGTGAGGAAACCCAGACTGGAGTTTCATCAGCTGCGCACAGACACAGAGAACCCAACAGAACCAACAGAACCTCAGCAGAACCCAGTGGAACCTGCTGCAGCCAGCAAAGCAACTGCTGCAGAACATCATCATACAGATTTTTATCAGGATTAATCCACGTTTTCATCAATCTTCATATGTTAAGAATCAATTATTTTAATGATTAATCGATTATTCTGACGATTAATCGATTGTTCTGACGATTGGGTAAAAAAATGGTCACATTCAGCAGATTTTTCATTTAACCACTTAAACTGTTTTACACAATATTAGAAAAATGTTGAAAGATCCAAATAAATGAATAATTATGTTTCTGTTTTAAGTAAGAAAATCAACATTCGATGTGTGAAAGTCAACAGCAGCGTTTGATCCATCTGCAGGCTTTTCTGCTGGACTGAACATCAGTACAGAGTAGAACTGATCTGCTGATTATTATGTTTTAATGAATGATTAATTATTGGATAATAAAAAGTCCTTGAAGAATCGAAGAACCAAAGGAGGTTCTTAATCTTAAGTCTTTATATTTTTACACAGTTTTGCTTCATTTCTGCTCTGATTGTTATTCTTCCAGCAAACAGTCAGTTTGCTCCAGTTAACGGCAAGGCTGACGGTCAGAACCACGCACCGACCCGGTTCTGGTTCTGACAACGCACCAGAACCACCTGGGTCTGGCTCCAGATCAGAATCGGATTATTATTACTATTAATTATTTCAATAATCGATTAATCGTGATTAATCGTTCTGCTGTGATGGAAATTCTGCTTCAGAAACCAGGAAACGTTGTGTTTATTCAGGAAGGAATAACTGGGATGAGTTAAAGTCGCCAGGAGCAAAGTTCCACCTCCGAGCCGTGACTGCAGAATGCAACAGAACCGGTCCGGTTCCGGATTTCTGTGGAAACGGCACCAGAGGAAAAACAAGGAAGGATTTCTACCTATGTATTAAATGTTCACACCGGCGCAGCAGCAGCCAACAGATTCACTCATTCACTCATTAACTCACTCATTAATTCACTCATTAACTCATTAACTCACTAACTCATTAACTCATTCAGGTTCATATTTTCTCAACAGTTTCAACATCCTGAAGTTTCTTCACTTGTTGAAATTCTTGTGGTTCCTCAGAAAGTCGACAGCAGAGCAGCTGCTGCAGCCCGGTCCGGTCGGTCCAGCCCGGTCCGGTCGGTCCAGTCCGGTCCAGTTGGTCCAGTCCAGTCGGTCCGGCCCGGCCCGGTCTGGTCGGTCCAGTCCGGTCCGGTTGGTCCAGTCCAGTCAGTCCAGCCCGGTCAGTTTGGTCCGGTCCAGTCGGTCCAGCCCGGTCAGTTTGGTACGGTCCGGTCGGTCCGGCCCGGCCCGGTCCGGTCGGTCCAGTCCGGTCCAGTTGGTCCAGTCCAGTCAGTCCAGCCCGGTCATTTTGGGCCGGTCCAGCCCGGTCCGGTCGGTCCAGCCCCGTCCAGTCAGTTCAGCCCGGTCAGTTTGGTCCGGTCCAGTCCGGTTCGGTCGGTCCAGTCCGGTCCGGTCGGTCCAGTCCAGTCCAGTCGGTCCGGCCCGGTCCAGTCAGTCCAGTCCGGTCCGGTCTCCAGGACTCCCTGACCCACCTTGGATCCCGTCCGGAAGCGCCTGCAGGTCGCAGTACCAGAGCCGGTTGACGGGCCGGCAGCCCTCGGTGATGGACAGAACCGCGTACCGGCCGTCATCTGACACCTGCAGCAGAACCGAACAGGCAGCATCAGCCGGGTCCGAAACCCAGAAGAACTAAAACCTGGAACCAGATTCTCCTAACGAGTGAAACCTGAAAAGTTTCAGATTTGCAGGAATTCACACAAAACCACTTAAATATTTGGACCCACTAATGCACCAGAACCAAACCAGAACCGGGTCGACACAGAAAAATCAGAGTTTTTTCTCCAGGTCATTAAACACAACAGAACTTGATCTGGTTCCGACCCGATATGAACCAGTTTAGACCGTTTCTGATCCGTAAACATTTTTATGAAAATATCTGACTTATATCGCTCTGACTAGTTCTGACTGGACCTGGACTGGTACTGGGCCAGAATTAGTGGTTGTGGGATGAAAACCAGAATCAGTTGGTACTCTGCAGGGTTCTGGTGGTTCTGGTGGTCCGGCCCGTCTCAGAGTGAATGCACTTGGTTTTGGTCTGGTGTGTGTTTCTGGATCAGAACTTGGTTCTGGTCGGACTCACTGTAACTGAGCTGTGCCATTTGGGATGGTCCGGGAACTCGGCCACCAGAACGTCGTCGGACTGCTCGGTTCCGATCCGATGGTAGAAGAGCTTCTGGTTGATGTTGGACGTGGTCTCTGTGCCTGAGGGACGACAGGAGCTGGTTACTCTGGTTCTGTTGGTCCGGTTCTGATCTGGAGCCAGACCCAGGTGGTTCTGGTGCGTTGTCAGAACCAGAACCGGGTCGGTGCGTGGTTCTGACCGTCAGCCTTGCCGTCCTGAGGCGGGTAGCAGTTGTAGAAGATGCCCCGGGCGTCGTGGGTCCAGGCCAGGCAGCTGAACTTGACCCGCTCCAGAACATCGGGCAGCGGCGCCAGACTGACCGGGTTCAGGAAGCGCAGCGTGACCCAGTCCGACCCGGCACTGCTCAGCCCGTACGCAAAGTACTCACACTCCTCAGACAGCCGGCCCACTGGGGAGACAGAGGGTTAGAGCGGTTCTGGAGCCGTTCTGGAGCGGTTCTGAGCCGGACTCACTCTTCAGCGCCACGGTTCCGTCTTCAGACAGCGAGTTCGGGTCGAAGAACACGGAGGCCGGCGCATCCAGCGAGTCCTGGACGTACAGAACGTCCTGGTTCTGGAGGCCCGCGTTGTGGAAGTAGAAATACCTGCAGGGAGAATCCAGAATAATCTGGAATAATCTGGAATAATCTGGAATAAAAAGTCTAAACCTTCAGAGTTCATTTAGAAACGGCTTCATTCAGTAGTTTTCCTCCCAGGTGGAGCTAATGCTCACACCGTCGCTCCTGAACTGGATAAAAACCTCGGCAGGTTCAGTTAAAATCACATTTTTATTCAGTTTATTTCATTAAATTCTTATTTTCTGCTTTAAAAGTCACTGAAGTTTAAAAATACTTTAACGGTTTTCTGACAAAAAACCTGCCTGATGAAACTTTACCAGCTAGCTTCTCCTGTTAGCATGGGAATGCTTCAAAGTAAAATAACTTTATTAGCAAACCCCTCATCGCACAACAAGCAGGTCGTCTGGTGCTAAAACCAATGAATTAAATAAATATACAAGATAAAGTCGAAATAATACAAGAATAAAGTTGTAGTTTTCTGACTAATATTATTACTTTATTCTTGTACAAGTTTATTCTCTTAATACTATTACTTCATTATCGTAGTGTTTTTATTTATTATTAGTAGTGTGTTACTCTGTCGCTCATCTGGAGAAATCTCAAAGGTTTGTGAACAAAATTCACTTAAAATGCTGCAGTAATTTTAACATCTTAGTGAATTATTTCTGTTTTAACAGTTTTCTGTGTGGGAAGAGAGAAGGACCCGGTCCAGATCCGGTTCGGCTTTGGTCCAGGTCCGGGTCGGCCCAGCTGTACCTGGACCCCCGCTTATAGGGGCAGCTGAACTTCGGGTAGTCGTAGAGCTCGGTGAGGCGCTGCTGGAACCGGGCTCGGACCGCACAGCCCTCCAGATACGGCATGGTCAGCTGGTTCTGCTTCTCCACGAACGCCTGCGCAGCGAACAGATCGGATCAGACCCGGAACCGCCAGGGGGGTTCTGCAGGAAGAGGGCGTTACCATGGTTTCCGGGCTGTCCGGGTCCTCCAGCCAGGCGTACGGGTCCGGGATCTTGGTTCCGTGGTAATCATCCACCTGTTCAACAAACAAGCAACAATCAGAGTCTGGCTCTGAAACCGGATCTTCTGGTTCCGGATGTTTCCGTGGAACTGCGAAGCTCCGAGCGCCAACTGTCAGCAGCAGCTTTCACACTAAACCTGCAAGCTGACACCACCGGAACGGAAACGCCGCCGGAACGGAAACGCCGCCAGCGGAGATTTGAGGCTCCAAACTGGATCACCAGGAACGCTCACAGAGTCAAAGGTTCAGGCTGCAGGACAGAATAGATCCACCTTCCATCAAGTTTTACCAGCAGAGGAGAACAACAATCTGACAGACATCAGAGCAAGAAGAGGCTGGGGTCATCTGAACCTCTGGGGTCAAAGGTCATGCCTCCACCATAAGAATCTGGGCCAGAAATGGCCGCATAGCAGAGAGAAAAGGCAACATTAAGGCTCATCTCAGTTTATCCAGAACACAGTTTGTTGATCACAAAGACTTTTAGGGCTGAATCGATTAATCATGATTAATCGTGATTATCGAAATGATCGTCAACTAATTTAGCAATAGATTAATCGTTAACTGGAGCATAGACTCTTAAAGATGCTAATTGCTGAAAGAACAAATGAGTCAGAGCTGTAAAGAAGCCAAACTGTTTAAAATATCAACATTTTCATTTAAGACAAAAAAAAAACAACTCATCTGAAAATCTGTTTTACCAGATTCAACTTTTCTAATTAATCAGCCAGTAGAAAAACCTGCAGCTGCAGCGCCGTGCACGGCGCTGCAGCATGCTGCATCCACTCTGATCATTGCGACACTCTGGATTTTCCTCCTTCGTTCCCTCAGGAAATCTAATTTTTCTGATATTTTTTATTCACAGCGAGCCGCTGCTTCAGAAATGTTTGATTCTTCCGTCACATCAACCGTTTTTGAGCTTCTGTTGTTTTAATGCGTGACAATGAATATTGAAACAGAAAATATTGCATAAATTAAATCCCTTAAATGTTTAATATGCATTCATATCATCAAAACTTTCATTTATTTTAGTAATTCAGAACAAAAAGTTGGCCTCCTGCATCGCTGAGTGAAATTCAGTTAATCTGAATATTAAATCAGACGAATAAAACTGTTATTTTTTACAGTGCGTTGCTCTGAAGGAGAAACCAGCAGATTTTCTTTCACCAGCTGCATCTTCACTTCATACGACTTTATTAAAATGACTTTAGTTTTATTTCAATCTAACAGAATTAAAGGGCCGGTATCACATTTTCCACAGTCAAATGTCTGTTTCCTCCAGCTGTTATGAAAATGTTTTTCCTTCCACTAAACTTTCTATGGCTACGCATACGCAGCATTGACCTGGACGTCAGACCTGCCTGCTGGTCTGATGGGAGGTTTTCATTAAAGTTTAGATCATAGAATATATTATATTCTATGATATATGACCTATAGAATATGAATATGGATCAGTTTCATTGAGAGCAGAGTTCACAAAGATAACAGGAAGTTTATGGGAGCAAACTGATGATGACATCATCAGCAGGTCACGACCTCTGTTTATTTAGATCAAATAACTGAACTATGAACATGAACAGATTCATTTTTTAACTGACTGAACTGGATTGAGAACCAGTTCTTTGTGAGAATGAACTGGTTGAAACTGTGGTGGTTCAGGATCCGGGGGCCCCCGGATCCGGCCATGGGCCCCTGGGTCCCCGTTTCTGCTCCGGTGTGAGCCTGGCTGACCTGGACCCAAACCGTCCGGATCAGAACCAGTAAGGGAAAGTGAAAGTGGGTCAGAGGCTCCTCCTCTTGCAGCTCTGAAACTGATTATTGATTATTAATTATTTGTAATGATGCTGGTTTCTGCCTGAACTCCATCTGACCCGGAGCCTCCCTCAGGCCTGCACCGGAACCGCCTCTACCTGTCCCGCTCCGCACCTGAGCAGCACACCCGAACCGAACCGAGCCGAGCCGAGCCGAGCCCAGGCCGGACTCACCTGGTTGAGGTCTCTCCGGGCTTCGGGGTATCTGAACGCCATCACGCCGCTTGGGGTCCGGGGCCTCTAAAGTCGGTCGGAACCAGCGGACTCTGAACCTCCGGGCTGAACAGAAAGTGAAACTTTCAGGCCGGCAGACAGGAAGTGACGTGTAAGCCAGGACCGTAAATGGCGCAGTCCCGTCGCTCGGGGATTTCTGGCGCAGTTTCAGCCGCAGGAGGAGCGCAGATATGGAGGACCAGCTGGAGGGAAGAGTTCGGTTCCGGTCCAGAGAACATCCAGCCCGGTGTTTCTGGACCAGGTGTTTCTGGACCAGGTGTTTCTGGACCAGGTGTTTCTGGACCTGGTGTTTCTGGACCAGGTGTTTCTGGACCAGGTGTTTCTGGACCAGGTGTTTCTGGACCGGGTGTTTCTGGACCCGGTGTTTCTGGACCTGGTGTTTCTGGACCAGGTGTTTCTGGACCAGGTGTTTCCGGGTGGAACCAGTAAAACGTTTCTCTGGTTTCCTCCATGTTGGTCCAACATTTCCTGGACTTTGTCCCAGAAGTTCTGATTCCATGTTTCACTATAAAAAATGATTTATCTTCAGCTGGACATAAAAACATGAACCTGCATGTGGTCCACCCGGCTGACCTTTGACCCAGAGGTATTTTTATCACAGCAAGTATTTTCCTTCCTGCTCCATTTTCTCCAGACTCCAGACTCTGCAGCGCTTCATGACTCAGGAGGAAGGCCGGTTCCGACCCGGTTCCGACCCAGACCGGTCCTTCGGGTTGCTGCTCTCCGCTGATGGCTCCATGCAGGGCGTCATGGGCGGGGGGGCGGCAGAGAGAAAGAAAACAGCTTCAGACCAGTAATCTGTCTAATCCAGGAAGCCGTGAAAACGACTGGGGGGCGAAGGGGGCGGGGCTAATTCCAACCAATTTAGTTAAGATGATTAAGTTGATGGGAAACAAGCTGCTGAAGGTTCTGGACTGGTTCTGGACCTGGTCCAGTCCATCTACCTCTTAGGCCCACACTGATGACATCATTAGTCTGTTGCCAGGTAGTTTAGACTCAAACTAGTCCATGACCTGGAGGAAAGGTCAGCCCTGATGGTTCCAGCGGACTGGACCGGTTCTACGGGCCGCCGGGAGTAAAGCTACCATCACAAATTAACAGAATGTTTGTTAACCTAAAAGAAAAACTTTTTACTCACGTCTGATTTTACCATGATTTCATTTAATTAGAAAGATAAATATTTAGTTTACAAGCTACACATTTAGCTTTAACTAAATATTTATCCCTGAACTATACATATTATATATAGTGTGTATATTTACGAGTTAAACATCTGCAAACAAAATATTTAAGCAGTTAACTCTATATTGAGTTTAAAACTAAATGTTTAACTCACTAATTTCATGTTTAACTTTTTAATGAAATATTAAGCTTCAATCTAAATATCTAACTCAGAATTAGATAAAAACTTAGCTTTGAGTTGAGCACTTAGTTAGCATGCTACATGTTTAGCTCAACAGCTAAACCAGCGGACGACTGGAGAGCAACGTTTCTCTGTGGAGGACGGCCCTGAACTGGTCAAAGATGACCTTTTGACCTCTTGATGGGCAGCAGCCGTTGCTCCTCTCAGGTGGTTGCTGGTTGCCATCCACCGCGGCGTTGCGCTAACACACCTGGAGGCAACAAGGTCTGAGGCTTTCCTCTGGACGGTCACATAACAGCAACACGGCCTCTGATTGGCTGACTGTCTGCAGAGCCGAAAGTGGACCAGGCCAAGCTGCAGGTAGATGGACGGTACCAGGCCCAGCCGGCCCGGCCCACCTGATGCAGACGGGCTCTAATTGGCTGACAATGGCCAGGTGATTCAGATGAGATTATGATGTCAGACTGCAGCCTCACCGTTACCGTGACGATTCACCTGAAAAACAAAAGCTGCTCTGCTGAGAGAAACCAAAGGTCGAGCTTCAGAACCTCACACACACACACACACACACACACACACACACACGTTTGTGTTGCTATCTTTGTGGGGACTTTCCATTGACTTCCATTAATTTCTACAGCCTAAACCTGACCTTTACCCTTTTCCTAACCCTAACCATCCAAAACTCAATTCATACCTTAGCCCTAAATCTGACCCCTGACCCAAAAACAGGGTTTCCCCTTGTGGGGACCAGGCTCCGGTCCCCACAAGGTGTTACAAACAAACGCACACACACACACACACACACGGAAGCGAGCTGCGTTATTTACCGCAGCAGCAGATGGAGCAGAACATAATAATCCTCATTTTGTAAAATGTTTTCAGTCACATCCTGCGGCTGACGCGCCGCTGTCGTCATGGAGATGAAACGATTCAGACGTGAAACCAGGTTTGAAGTGTTTACATCGTTTAATCCAGATCTGACAGCGTTCATGAGGAGAGTTTATCTCTGCTCTGCTGCAGCTCGAGCTGCGATAATCAATCAGAGCTGCTGTATTGATCTGTTATTGCTCGGCGGCGCGTGGAATCCTGCAGACAATAAAAGACCAGCAGCCAGATTAAGACAATTAGGCTCCGTTTGTTTTCAGAGAGCAGAAGAAGAAGATTAAACCAGCAGATTTAGGTCAAAGTGATGAAGTGTGGAGGAAGGAAGGAGGCGGGGCCGGGGAAAGGGGGGGATTGGGGTCAGAGAAACCGATCGGTGAGGAAGAGGAGGAGAGAGGAAGAGTCTGATCCCTGACTGATCGTCATCTTCCTCACCTGCTTCCAGGAGCTTCCAGTCTGGGGATTTTCCTGATCCGTCTAGACTCCTGAATCAGCACTCAGTTTGTTTTTCTTTCCTCTTCCTCACCCTCCTCCTCTTCCTCCTCCTCAGCCTAATTAGCAGATATTTTTATTGATCTGCTGGATTTGGTGCTGAAATCCCTTCTCTGTCTGCCAGACAGATCTGGACTAAAGTCCTCATGTTGATCTGGATGAGGGGGGCTGTGGGGGGCCAACCCACCTGTTAGCATCGGTACAACAGCATGCAGACCTGCTTCCACCCTGAAAGTCGCCGTTTTCCTCCAGAACAATGAAAAGGGAAAATGATTCCTGTGATATTTTTTAGAAATCTGTCTGAAAAGTGTGGAGTGTATTTGTTGTTGGTTCTGACGGGCCGAGCTGGACTTTACCTGCTGTGCCTGGTAAAAGCAGAAGCAGGAAGTGCCGGCCGGCCGGCTGCAGCGTTCTGCTGCCATGAAGCTTCACAGCTCTGAGTGTCAGAATCTCAGCGGCTCCCAGATTTGCTGCTGCTGCTGCTGCTAATAACTGTGATATTTTCACAACCCGTTTAATGCAGAGGAAAAAAGTTGTTTTGTTCTCAGAGGAAGCAGCGGCTGCAGCGAAAAGGCCAGCTGCGTCTGTTTGGACCTTTGCTCTCAGAGCCACCATGATGGCTGGAAGCTGTGAAACAGAGAAGTCAGATGAAATGCGCCGGAGTGACACGTCTCCTGCTGCAGCTCGCATGTCTCAGAGCCGGACGATAATGCTGCTGATAAGGATGTTGCTGCTGAGGCTCTGGCTCGTCCGGCTCCTTCCTTCCTCTTCTGTGATGGCATGCAACCTAGAGGAGGTGTGAAAACGTCGGGTTATTTTGGTCTGTCACGCTCAGACAGACGCTGAGAAACTCTGACCTGCTGCTGCTGCTGCTGGGAATCTTAGAGTTCTCACTTCGCCTCGGCCTGTAAGGAAGAGCAGCGGGCCCAAACGGGACGGTTCTGAGACGGCCGCAGAGCAAAACGCGGCGGCACCTCTGCAGCAGGTGCAGCTGCATCACCTGCACCTGCTGCAGGTGATGTGGGCGGAGCCTGGAGCGGGCGAAGCTTCATGAAGCTTCAGGCGCAGCAGCGGCGGCGCTAACCTCAGCGCAGGAGGCCGCCTGACGCAATCAGCTAAAAATATCTGCAGAGAGAACACAGACAACCTCCGCAGTTCTGAGAACGCTGCAATAATCTGAGAGGAACCGGGCCGGGTCATGGCCCAGAACCCGGCAGAACCCAGTAGAACCCGGTAGAACCTGGTAGAACCTCCCAGCAGCAGATTAATGGTTGTTGTTGTTTTGCCCTCAGCTCATAAACACCCCCCCCCCCCCCCCCC